AAGCACCATAACTTATTTAACTAATTCGTTATTAATAAATACTTAAGGTATTTTCAGTTGTTAATAAATGTAAAGCAAAGATATTTAATAATCATCCTAGATCACTTGTGTTTGACAGCTGCACGAATAACCAATTATATTATCCTGGAAGTGAAATTTTTAGGTTAAAAATTATGGGTACTTAAATTTTTACGTATATTACTAAAACGCCTTCCCAAAAGATTGTATCAATAATTTACCCTCACACCAACAGCCTGTGAGAATTGTCATTTACCAATATCTTTACCATCACTGGGTTGTTTAAAGATTTTATAGTAATTTATGATACAGCAGTATACAAGTTACACGCCATATTTAATTTTCGTATGAATCTCCTTGACTTTTAGTGAGTTTAAACACATTTTTATCGTATTACAGGCATCTGCATTTCTTTTTGGGAATTTTCTGGTTTTGCCTTAGTGCATTTTTTTTTTTTCTATTTGATTGTTGGTTTTTTTAAAGTTAATTTGAAGAGTTCTTTATATTATAACTGAGCCCTGGTGGCATAGTGATTAAGAGCTTGGCTGCTAACCAAAAGGTAGGCAGTTCAAATCCACCAGCCACTCCTTGGAAATCCCATGGGGCAGTTCTACTCTGTCTTATGGGGTTGCTACGAGTCAGAATCGACTCAGTGGCAACGGGTTTGGCTTTTTGTTTGCTTTGTTTTGTTTTATGTTATAACAAGACCATCACCCATTGTCCGTATTTGTTGTGAATGAATTTTCCTCAAGTTTCACATTTAACTTTGTTTTTATATATCTTTTGCCATTCAGAAGTTTTCATTCTGATTAATCAAATCTTCCACAGAACAATTAGAAGATAATTCACCGATATTAATGGGTTAACTTTCACATTTAAATTTCAGTACATCTGAAGTTTATGTTTGTGTATAAGGATTAAGAAAGAAACACACTTCAGATTTTTTTTTCCCAAAATGGCTGCGCTACGGTCCCAATGCCATCTTTTCCCCCAAGATGAAATGCCACCTTTATTATACTGAAGTCATTTATCCTGGAGATATTTTTGGACTCTCAATTCTGTTTCATTATCTAGTCATCTATTCCCAGAGCATACTCTTATAACTAGTATTATTTTATATTGTCAAAGAACTATTCCACAAACAAAAGCAAACACAATATAAAAAGCAGCAGCTATAGGGAGTATAATAGATTTTACTATTTTTTTTTAACCTGGTGCTACTTACGTTGTCTGAGCACATTAAAAAAAAAAACAAAACAAGAAGGTCTCACAGTTATTTCTTATGAAATGAAAATCAGTATCCCATGGCTACAATAGCAGGGGATGACCACAGAGAGGCCTCATTTGAGCTCTAATGTACAAATCTTCAATAAGGCACTAATGAATAAAATGCAGCAGATCATTAAAGGAATAACATACCATTACAAAACGGGATTTATTCCAGCAAGGTGGGGATTGTTTAATATTTGGAAGTATCTTTACATTATT